GCACCCGTGACCCCCACGACCCGAAAATTTCCTATTTTAACACGGAGCCCATGAAAATCACATGAAAGTGTTCCTAGTGAAACATGTTTTTGATAGTTAACATTTTGGTTTTGGCAGGTGGAACATGTTTGGTTTAAGCAGCTCATGGACTTTTACTGTAAAGATTTCCAGTCAAAAACACCAAATCATTGAGTTGATTGTAGGCGTTTTATTTTTGCTTTGTTTGTTTTCAAGCTGACTTCAAAAGAACATGAAGTGCTTATTTAAATCTGTATTTTCTGTCTTTAACAAGCACTTTGTTATTTAGAAGTCAGTTTGAAGTGCAAACAAACAGAAGAAGCTGTAAAGAGAATGGATGGATGTTGTAATGTGATTTTACATTAAAGGTCCAGTAGAGGGCGGCACATGTTCATTGTATAAATATATTAGCTACTCTAGTAGTTTATTCATTAATAAATATTAATTTTACTGTGTACACACGTGTATATTTATATATATATATATATATATATTTTTTTTCCAATTCATTGCTTGCTTCATTATGTACAGTCACCAAAAATGATCTTGTAAGTCTAACAACAAAGAGCTTTCGTTCAGTAATGGCACCTTTCAGCATTTCTTCAAAAAACAGTGTCTAAACAGTGTTTAATGATGAACCACCTGTCTTTTCTTCTGTCTGGGCAAGACACAGTAAATTGTCAGCTAAAGACCAGCCTTTGATTTTGGCGCTGAAAGAAGGCGAGAAAGAGGACCGGGAACAGTGTGAGAGACACTTTCGTCTTCTTCGTGATGACGCACGTGAGGCTAGAGGACAAGAAGCAGCCCAGAGAAGGGAGGAGGCTGCTCGGACCGATGCCTTCGATCAAGCCTTCCCTGGTGTGCTGGGAGATCTTGGGCGTGCCATGAGACCTTTGACTGTTTCGAATTGATAATCAGTAGGTAGTAGTACTTTTAGTAGTTTTTAGTTTAGTAGTTTTGTTTCAGTAGTTACCCTTTTTATATATATTTATTACTTTCAAATAAAAAACTTGTTTCTTATGGCCTGTGTCTGCATTATAATTTTCAATGTTAAAAGCTTACAGTATTTTTCTTCACATCTATAGTGAAGGTTAGGCACATTTGAGATTTGTCCCTTTTATACATTTCAGATTTCATGATTCTTAAGAGGCCCTGTGATGGACTTGCGACCTGTCCAGGGTGTACCCCGCCCCTCGCACAGTGATTGCTGGACATGGGCACAGCAACCCCGTGACCCAAAATGGAACAAGCAGGTAAAGATAATGGATGGATGGATTCTTAAGAAAAGATTTCTACAATCTGTTCTACTCTTATTAAATTAGTCTTTTGTTGTTCCAGGATGAAGTCATCACACAAAAAATGTGTACTTCAGTCGTTCCAGTGAAAATATGACAGCCTGTATTGTAAAGATGAACAGTGAGACAAAAAATGCTATTTTTAATTAGTTTATGTGTAATATAAATTAAAATATAATACAAATTAGATGTAAAATATATACAGTATATTATTAAAGTTTTATATATATATATATATATATATATATATATATATATATATATATATAAAATAATATATAGAAAGTACGGGCAGCACGGTGGTGCAACTGGTAGAGCTGCTGCCTCTCAGTGAGCAGGTCCCCAGTTCAAACCCCGGTCCAGGGGCCTTTCTGGGTGGAGTTTGCATGTTCTCTCCGTGCATGCGTGGGTTTTCTCCGGGTGCTCCGGTTTCCTCCGACAGACCAAAAACATGCATGTTAGGCTGACTGGTAACTCTAAATTGTCCCTAGGTGTGAGTGAGAGAGTGAATGGTTGTTTGTCTCGTTTGTCTCTATGTGTCCCTGTGATGGACTTGAGACCCGTCCAGGGTGTCCCCTGCCCCTCACACAGTGATTGCTGGACATGGGCACCAGCGACCCCCGTGACCCAAAATGGAACAAGCGGGTAAAGATAATGATGGATGGATGGATATAGAAAGTACATTTATTTTATGTTTTTTTCTTATGAACCACAAAACTTAAGATTCAAGGAGAAATTCAACAATAATGTTCTTTAAATCTACAGCTGCTCTTAAAAGCAGTTTGTGTGATGACAGCACAGTGAGATTTGTTTATCAATTTTAACATGAACCTTTTTCTAGTGCAATTCTGTTCATAACAAAAGTCAAGATATTGTAATACATCTTTATTATCAACAGCTACAATTAAATGTTACAAAGACGGGTTTAAGGCATGCAGGTAAAGAAAAAATGTTTACACTTGGGGATTAGTTTAAACAGTTCATCAAATGAGGATGAATGATTTATCATGAGATGCTCCATTAGAGCATTTCTGACATCATCTCTTCCTTCCCCAACTTCCTGTGTCACAGCCTCCCAGGGTGGCTGGGCAGCTGCCTCTGCATCAGGTTCATCCAATAAGGTCTCGTACACGTCTCCATGAATTTCACACAGGTTATGTAGAGCGCAGCAGGTCAGCACCATGGACTTCACAAGTTCAACATCAGTCATTCCTTTTAAGAAGACAACACCATCTTCCCTTCAGCCTACCAAAAGCATTTTCCACAACAACCCGTGTACTACAACATTTTTGGTTGTACATCTGCTGTTAGTCTTCCAGTGTCAGAAAATGGTTTTAAGAGCCAGACTTGCAAGCTGAGTCACCCAGGATGTAGTATCCAGTAGTCGCTGTGCCAATGGTCCTGAAATGAGCTGGGAATAGGTTTCCTCTCGTGGCTAACTCCCACAGCGTGGACAGTCTCAGAACACTGGCAATCCAGCAAACACATTCCACAACTGTCCCCTTCCATCCACAACAGCTTGCAGGATGATGGAATGTCAACCTTTTCAATTAAAATAATCAGTGTGATAGTACATTTCCTATAAGTAAGATAAGTGTCACTCACCAGGTTCTCCTCACACAGCTCCCTGAACTGTTGAAACTTTTGAGACATCAGAAGATGTGCACTTCCAACAGCACTCCTCATCTTCTCCAGGACTGAGACCACAAACACAGAGAACATCCAAAATACTTTCAGAAAGTCTGAGTTATTTTTATCTTTCTGTAAACTACACAAACATGGTGCACATATGCAAATTAGTCAGTGGAGAGCTATTCAAAACACAAGTGTTTGGTGAAAGAATAGATGCTGATGGTATACTTCAGGGGTGTCCAAGTGTGGCCTGAGGGCCATCTGTGGTAGAGCTGCGATTTTTGGCTCGAGCCCCCAGCCCGACCTGACCAGAAATTTGGACCAGAGCAAGCCAAAATTATGTGCTTGATGGACGGGTCGGGCTGGTTTCAGGCTTTTGATGCGGTTTAACGAATCATATAGCACAAAGAAAGCTAAATAAGAGCGCACAATATAAAATTGTGTTAATCTATTTGTTGAGGAAGAGGCAGTACATTTATATGTTGAGGATGAGAAAGGAATAAAATAGAGTGCAGAAGTTAATCAGACTGTGAAAAGAGAGAGGAGCACTATTGCATCGCGTAACAATTACTAATGTGCCCTTGCCCACCCTTTGCTCTTATCAAACATCTGAGGAATTGTAACTGATCTACAACAGGCGACATAATGGAGCTGGAAAGTATTAAACAAAAGCTAAAAACAGGAGAACTCTACAAAACCAGCACAGTGAAACCTGCTGAAGTGTGTCAGGACAGGTGCACGCTCAGGTCTGACTGGCCAGTTGAAAGAGGTAAAAATAACAACAGGTGGACAATGGGATCATCAGCCGCATGTGTCTGCTGACTGGCCAGTTAAAAGAGGTTAAAAAAAAAAAGAGAAAAAAAAGTCCCGTTAGGCTTCAAGATGGACAACGGCATCATCGGCCGCATGTGTCTGCTGACCGGCCGAATGGATCATCGGCCACACGCATCTCACTCTGCACCCTGCTGTCATCTGCGATGAAGGGAGTTACAGCACCTGAAGCTACAAAAGCTGAAGCAAGCAGCACATTCCATTAAAATAGACTTGTTCTATATTTTTCCAAATAATTTTGCTCTAAAATTATTTTTGTTCATCTTGTTATCTTTGGAGTTGATTTTTTTAGGCTATTCATTTTGTATGTTAATATTCATTTGGTGACTTGTTAATAAACAAATAATCTTATATCTTCCTTTCTTTGAAATATGTTTTTTAAAACTATCATGTCAAACTGATTTGCTTACAAAAGCAGTAAAAGTTTAATTTAAAAAATTGTGGGTTTTTGTGTGTATGTGTGTGTGTTCGGGCCTGTAATTACAGTTAATTTGATCTGGTTGGGTCGAGCTCAGTCAAAATGCCTACGGGTTTGTGCTGGGCAGGATTTTTTAGTCCCGTATGCAACTCTAATCTGTTGTCCCTGGACTGATGCTGTGAGGCCCACAAATACAAACCTTTGGCTGTGATTAATCCTTTCCGTCATCATTTCATGTTATAAAGCACCCCAAAATTTTATTAACTTCTACCAAAAGTTTGACTTTGGGATAATCATTCATAAAACTTGGCTAAATATAACAAGTGTTTTCATAAAAAAAAGAAATAAACTGCAGTTGATTTAATAGAGGGAAACTGGACATTTTTAAAGAAATATAAAGTGGTATCATCTGCATACAAGTTGATTATCAGTGCTGCTTCAAACCTCCTATGGATATGTTCTAGTAACTGCCAGCTGTACGATTTTTTAGAAGTTCAATCCCCATTTTGAGCCATCCATAATCCAAATGAGGTGGTCCAAATGGTCCACATGGATGAAAAATACCCTTTTAAAAGAATTCAAAAATATTCAATACAAAAACAACTGAACTTAATTTGTAACAGAAGATGTTTCGCTCCTCATCCGAGCAGCTTTCTCAATTCAAAGAGCAGTGAGTGTGGGGTTCAGGTTATAAGGCTAAGATAAGATACACATACACATACATATATAGACTGAATTCACACCTCACACCTTAACAGCAGGGGTTTCTTAAGGTCTTTGTTAATCTAATTCACAGATGAGGTCCCTCTGTTCCCATCAGGTGTAAAAACTGGCTGGGAATCAGTTTTAAAGTTGCATTACACATTTTTGAAAGTTGAAATCTGAGGCCTCCTCCTCTATTAAGGGACATTTTTTTCTCTTTTTACATAAATTGCTTCCTTCACCCCCCTCTCAAACCATCTGTGTTCTCGGTCCAAAATGTGCACACTTTGGTCCTCAGAAGAGTGTTCCTTATTTGTGAGGTGGAGGTGAACAGCTGAGTCTTGTCCAGAGGAGGTGGCTCTCCTGTTTTGAGCCATGCATCTGTGAAGAGGCTGTTTAGTTTCTCCAATGTAGAGGTCTGGACAGTCCTCGATGCACGGGACCCCATACACTACACCACTCTGTTTGTGTATGGGTGTTTTGTCCTTAGGGTGGACCAGCCTCTGTCTGAAAGTCCTGCTGGGTTTGAAATGTACTGGGATGTTGTGTTTGATGAAAATCCTTCTGAATTTCTGATACTCCAGCAACATAAAGGATGGCAATGTTTTTCTATCTGTTGTTCTCCACGCTTCAATTTCCTTAGCTTGGATTTTGACCCAGGTATCATTCACATATTGGAACCAATGACTTGGCATTGTTCCTTCATAGAAGTTAAGGGCTCTCTGTTCCACTTCCTCCATATTTAGATTGGCAACAATGGATGACACTGGAGATCCCATGGCACAGCCGTGCTTCTGTCTGTAAAAACTGTAATTGAACTTGAAATAGGTGGTGGAAAGGCAGATATCCAACAGGGTGCAGATCTGGTCTGGGGTCAAGTTGGTCCTGTTGTTTAAGTCATTGTCTTGTAGAAGTCATTTTCTGATGGTTTCTACTGCTTCAGAAATGGCTATGCAAGTGAAAAGAGAAGTCACATTGTATGATACAAGGGTTTCTCCTGGGGTTAGTTTCAAATGTTGAACTTTGTTGGCAAAATCAATGGAGTTCTTTATGTGATGAGGTGTGTTTCCAACAAGAGGAGCTAAAAACTGAGTGACAGCAACACCTACGAGACTCTGAAGATGGTCCCAACTAGCACCTATAAAAAGAAAGTCACAGATTACCTGCAAAAACTTGAAAAGGAGAAAACAATCAATCAATTGTTGTATTATAGATTGTACCTGGGTGAAGCCACTCCCTGTCTTTATGGACTTCCTAAAATACACCAAGAAGGAACACCACTCAGACTCATCGTCAGCAGCATAAACTCAGCGACATACAATATTGTTAATCATCTGGCTGGTATTTTAGCTCCTCTTGTTGGAAACACACCTCATCACATAAAGAACTCCATTGATTTTGCCAACAAAGTTCAACACTTGAAACTAACCCCAGGAGAAACCCTTGTGTCGTATGATGTGACTTCTCTTTTCACTTGCATACCCATCTCTGAAGCAGTAGAAACCATCAGAAAACAACTTCTACAAGACAATGGCCTAATCAACAGGACCAACTTCACCCCAGACCAGATCTGCACCCTGTTGGATATCTGCCTTTATACCATCTATTTCAAGTTCAATGACAGTTTTTACAGACAGAAGCACGGCTGTGCCATGGGATCTCCAGTGTCAGCCATTTTTGCCAATCTCTACATGGAGGAAGTGGAACAGAGAGCCCTAAACTCCTTTGAGGGAACAACGCTAAGCCATTGTTTCCGATGTGTGGATGAAACCTGGGTCAAAATCCAAGCCAAGGAAATAGAAGCATTCACCAGACACATTAACTCTGTTGATAAAAACATCAAGTCCAACAGAGAGGATGCAAACGACAACAAGCTGCCTTTTTTGGACTGTTTGATTCAGATGGAAAGAGAGGACAGCCTCAACATGGAAGTTTACAGAAAACCAACCCACACAGACCAGTATCATCTGTTTGACTCCCCCCATCCACTGGAACACAAACTCTCTGTCATCAGAACTTTACAACATTGTGCCGAACGCATCCCCACGAAGACAGAAGGGAAGGAAAAGGAACAGAAACACATTCAAGAAGCTCCTCAAACATGTGGATATCCTAACTGGGCTTTTGTCAAGTCAGCGAGGAAATCTACAAAACACACTAATAAACAGAAAAAGGAGAACAACAGATGTAAAAACATTGTCATCCCTTATGTTGCTGGAGTACCGGAGAAATTCAGAAGGATTTTCAACAAACACAACATCCCAGTACATTTTAAACCCATCAGGACTATCAGACAGAGGCTGGTCCACCCTAAGGACAAAACACCCATTCACAAACAGAGTGGTGTAGTGTATGCGGTCCAATGCAGCGAGGACTGTCCAGACCTCTACATTGGAGAACCTAAACAGCCTCTTCATAGACGCATGGCTTAACACAGGAGAGCCACCTACTCAGGACAAGATTAAGCTGTTCACCTCCACCTCACGGATAAGTGACACTCTGAGGACCAAAATGTGCACATTTTGGACCGAGACCACAGACGGGTTGAGAGGGGGGTGAAGGAAGCAATGTATGTTAAAAGAGAAAAAAAAAAACATCTCTTAAAGCAGGAGGCCTCAGATTTCAACTTTCAAAAACCTATAATGCAACTTTAAGACTGATTCCCAGCCGGTTTTCACACCTGATGGGAACAGAGGGGCCTCATCTGTGAATTAGATTAACAAAGACCTTAAGAATCCCCTACTGTTAAGGTGTGAGGTATGAGTTGTCAATCTATATATGTATGTGTATCTTATCTCAGCCTTATAACCTGAACCCCTCACTCTCTGCTCTTTGAATTAAGAAAGCTCCTCGGATGAGGAGCGAAACGTCTTCTGTTACAAATAAAGTCCAGTTGTTTTTGTATTGAATATTTTTGAATTTATCATGTCCTGGATGACTGAGAATCTTCACCAGCTTTTAAAATAATATTTATTCATATTGCTCATTTATTTAAAAAATGAACTTTCCAATCACAAGAAAACAAAAAGAAATAGATTCGGAAAATCAAATAAATTAAACCCTTTAAAATAAAATAAAATAATAAAAAGTAATGTTTGAGGCTTGCAATATTTTGGATCTACAACAATTCAGAACTTCTACATTAAAATCTGTAAGCTCATGTCTTTTCTCCAAAATATTTATCACATTGCTGGGAGTTTAAAAGAAGAAGAAGAAAAAAAAACCACCAAAAAAATGGGCATTTTTTTTATCCATCTTAAATTACAATTTTTGTGGCTCATGACTATTTTCATCTAAACAGTTTTGGTTTGGTCCACATGTGAAAACCTTTGGACACCCCTGATTTCCTCACTCATTACTTTGTACACTGCCACCCACTGACCAGTTAGTGTAAGTGCGCAAGTCTAATCAAATAACTGACAGATAGAGAAATGTAAAGCAACAAATATTAACCAAGGAAAAATATAAATGTTAGTTATGAAATGTTAATTTTATTTTGGGGAAAAATTATTGTTGATCATTTAATAGCTTTGAGATCCTGGGTCCTACACTGGCTGTATTTAAACCAAAATTCACAATTTTACAGTAACTAGTATTCTGGAAAATACTTTAATAGCAGTAAATACCTCAGCAGTACATCAACACATTTGAGTTTTTAGACCAATTTTTTTGTAACTAAAACAATATCTTATGCAAAGTTGTTTCATTCGTTGAAGTACAGTAGGGGACAAGTCATGCAAGGTGGTGCAAGAAATACCTGAGTCAAGTGAGGACAATATTAGAGGCAATGACAAAGACTGGCTGCCAGAAAAAAAAGGAATAGCATATGCTTGTAGTGGTGACAGTGGAGCTGAGGATACTGAGAAAGTGGAGGATGTTGAACAAGCTTGAGAAGCAGAAAATGCTGAGGGAGCTGAGGATGACGAGAATGACGAAGCAGCTGAACAGGTTGAGGTGAGAATGAGAAGAACAATAGAGGAGCAGAGAAGGCTAAGGAAGCAGATCATGATGCACCAGCTGCAATGTGGTGGAAGTTGGTCTAATTCATGCATCAGAGGGTTTTATCAACATTAATATTCAGAAATTAAATGATCTGTATACTTTAGGAGCATAAGAGACATTCAGAGAATGCTGGCTGTGGGGGTTCCACAGCTTATTCTCTGCTTTTTTACCAACGACTTTATTTTATATTTTAGGTTTAGGGCTACAAGTGTGAAATTTGGAATGATGTGATTGTTGGCACAAACAAATTTGAAAATCTTCTCTTTCTATTAAGAAAAGAACATCTAGCTGGGCTGCCAGCTGAAATGTTTGTGGCAATATGTTTATCTATGTGCTCACACACTGAAGGCTGAACATGATTCACGTAGACTGTAAGAACTGTACGACTGTAAGAAGAGACCTACTGTCTTCAGGCAGGTCATTCTCCTGCTGGTCCATCTCCATTTGTCGGCACCAGCCCTCCATACGGTCAGTCTCAGCTTGGAGCAGCTTCAGAAACCAGCGTCCATCTCTTTGACAGACTGATTGATGTACCACCTACCAACAAAAAAAAAATTATCATACAAGAAAACCACATCCTATATCCTGAAATTTAGAGCATATTGAAGCTAATGCCATATTTCTTTAATTTATCTTAATCTCGGAGAGGGAACATGGCGGCGGACAGGTGAACTGCTTCTCAGCTGAACTACAGTCAGCCCCGCTGAAAAGTTGTCTTTTATGATTATATCCTCCCTGCCTTCGAGCTGGATTTTGTCTCTGAGACTAGTATCATTGCATAACTGAATCAACAAACTTGTAATAGGCCTCAAAGCAAAAGAAGTCTAAGGTTTCAGTCTCTTTACCCGCACAGCACATTGCCATGGCTGTAGCCTTGGGCCACCATGATGGAAAAGCTGATGAAACAACAGGTGCGTCGCCCTTGCCTTCCCCGAGTTCTGGAAGGACAGACGAGTCTGCTCTGAGAACAGATATTCTGGCTTCAATTAAATCCCAAGTCATAGCAATAATTAGGATGAAAATAAGAGTGGCTCTGATGGATAATGTTAATTTTTTTGTAGTGAGCTAGCTGTTAGCTTCACTACTAATTAATTATTCTTAAAGCTAGTTCAGCTAGTTGCTGATCTGTTTCTGATTAATAAACTTGACGCGATTTACTAAAGACAACAGAAGATAACTGATTGAGACTGATTCATCTCTGAAGGCATCTAGCTTGATTTACTGGCGAATAGAAGTTTAAAGATTTAAAGAGGAGGTTTAGATGGATGAAAGTTATGTGTTGAACCAGAAAATGGCACCCTTCCTCCGAATCCAGCTCAGCCCTCCGGTACACTTCAGGGCGTCAACGGCTTGTTACCTGAGATGGTGGATACATCAACTCCAGAACAGAGGTCCATTTCACGCTCCCTTTTCAGCGTCTCCAGTCAGAGTGGCTGGGGTCGTCAGAAGTCGTGACGAAGTACTCAGTTCAACAGAATAAGCTTCCTTAGAAGCTGAGCATTTAATGCTCGGGGTGAGTCACAGCCGAGGCAGGCTGTGACTAGCTGGAATGGATGGACCCTTGGCACATGGTCAAATCCATCAGCTACTTAGTTCAGCTGGAAGACTCCATCAGACTGAGTCTCATCTTCGACTGAAAGTTCCAGGAAGACTGGAAAAACTCAAAGACTGGAAAAGACTGAATAGTTCCAAGGTGTTGACTTTTAAAGGGTATCCACTTCCTGTCACTTGGTACTTCCTGATTGGTTGAAACAACCAGCAGGGGTGTAGTTTTAGTGATGTCAGAGGGTTATTAGAAGTCAGGAGACAGCAGAAATGTTTTAAGAACAGTTAGTACAGACAGAGAAATATTTTGAAGATATGAGAGAATGCAGGTGCCAGCCAGTTCTTATTTACTGTCTAAGAGTTTTAAAACAAGGCACTTCGTTCTCATAACTTGTCTCTGACTTTCGACCGATATCAGGTCCACTCCTCACACGGACAGAAGAGTGAATGCACACTTACTTCGTAAATAGACATTTAACTTGTATGATTGATGAAGTCTAATGACGTTTAAAAATCATTAATACTGTTTCACAGTTGATTTAAATGAGTGGTTTACTTCAACATTTAGAAATGGTATGAACTAAACACACTTTGGATTATCAAGATATTGTAAAATAGTTAATGATAATATAAAAAGAAGAGTGTTTTTTCAATTGATTAATTCAGGATACAATTAAATAGTCTCTTGATGAGATAATTTGTATTTCTGGATTCAAATCAATGAAATAACAGTTCCTGTCCCCTGAAGGTCTTCAGAGACAGATTGATGTCGGAGGTCTAGTTCACTACAGTATTAAGAGTGAACTGAAAGCAGTCCGAGCTGAGCTTTGATAACACCACTGCAGGTTTCAGAGCGGAGTTTGACCATGTTAAAATAGGATGTTTTGCAGAATGAGAACTGTCTGTCCTTATGCTCGGATGAAATAGCAAAACTACATGGGACGTGAAGGAGTTGAGGAGTGAAATCAATGGGCTTAAAAACGTTTTGCATATGTGGAGGGAAATATGAGACGTGACAATATTAGAATTATTGGACTTCCTGAGTCGGCAGGTGAATGTACAACCATGGTGATAGCTAAAATGCTAATAGAAGCCCTAAAATTGAGCAAATTGCTGCCGATTGATCATGTGTACCAGACACCGGGGAGAAGAGGCTCAGATAGGAGATCAGGAGTTATTGTGGTCAGGCTTTGTTACCATCAAGAACATGTGGAAATACTACGGCGGGCACATAGCGGTGGCCCGATCAACTTCAAAGAATCAGCCATATTTATCGCAGCTGACTACACCCAGGGAGTGGTGAGGGCATGAGCAGCGTTCACAGAGGTGACGTGACTCCTGCGGAACAGATCGGGGTTCCAGTATGGTCTCCTTTTTCCGGCATGGCTTTGCATCACACATGGAGAGACGGACAAGGTGTTTGTCGATTCCATTAAAGCGATGGAATACATCAAGAAAAATATAATTCCAGCAACACTTCAATACTTGCTCTTGTCAAGGGCAGATGTCTGATTCCTGGTTTATCTACAATCAAGGAAGTTGTTGGCAGTGAGTTTAGACCCGATCAGGCTGCTTGCCTTATGATGGCTTGGTTTGTGCCTCAAGCACCCAGACTCAAATGCTTTTGGCAGGATGGATCAGATCTCGGGGATTATTCTCGGGCACGATCCATTGGTGTGGCCATTTAATTTGGACGTTTCAGAACCGAGTTTACAAACACAAACTCAAGGTAGATGTCATTAAAGTTCTGCCTGTCCCCAAAACAATTGTGTTTATCTGAATTTGGTTCCCTGACTGGCCTTGACAGGCCATATTATCTTAATTTACCTGGAAGTTTTGTAAACCAGAAGCTCTGCCCCTCCCTCCCCTCCTACCGATGCATCTCTATGGACTTTTCAGATGGGCCCAGCTGAATAAACATTCTGTCATCATTTCAGGACTCTTTGGATTCGTCCTTGGCCATCCTTGGCACCCCCCGAGTGTGTACGGATCTCTCAAGAGGGAACTATTTAAATTGAGTGATTTTATATGAACTCTGCAGTGCCTCTGTGTGTTGTCTCTGAATGCTCACCGTAGTTGCGTCCCCCCCCCCCCCCCCCAATGTTGACATCATTATGTGCTAGTGTATGAGATTTTTTTTTCATTATCACACTGTTGACCTTCAACCAAATATTAAGAGCGTGTTTAGGAATTTTTTTGGTCTCCAAACCCTATGCATCATTTTCACCACTTTTTATTGTCTGTCCAAACAGATCTCACTTGTAAATGAGTCTTTGAGGCTCAATGTGACTTATCTATTTAAATAAAGGTTATAATAATAATAATAAATAGAGAACAAGGATTAAAATAAATCAGAATAAACCACAAGACCAGCCTCTCTCAGTCAAAAATTTTTATAAATCTGTGTTTGACTCAATATTTGGCTGTGGTCCTTTGACAGCGGTATGTATAATGTTTTATTTGTATTGAGGGGCAAGTGTACAGTGTTAAATAGTAAATGGACTGTACTTATATAGTGCCTTTTTATCTTATCGAGATACTCAAAGCGCTTTACACTACAACCAGTGCCTTCATTTACCCATTCATACAGCACTCTACTAGATCTTTACAAAGCCAATTGAACAAATCATTTTAAAGAAACTAATCAGTGCTTCATCACATTCATACACTGATGAGACACATATCAGGAACAACGAGGGGTTCAGTGTCTTGCCCAGGGACACTTCAGCATGTGACTGCTGGTGGATTCAAACCCCGAACTCTTGCATTGGATGACGACTGCTCTAACCACTCAGCCACAGCTGCCCATTGATTTAAATTGATTACCGTAAGTTTCGGTATAAAGTACACACCCCATGATTGGACAATATTTCTTTCTTTTTTTCCTTTCTTCTCTTAATTCTATTTTTGGTACTGGAAAGTGACTCCACAGTGTTAACACTCTGAACTGATTTCCATGCACGTTTGATATTTACGGTAACATTTGCATTTTTTATTTATACATTTTTTTATTACCATTATATTGCATGTGGGCAGACGGGAGCCCAGATAGTTGGACTGTGTTCTCCAGGTAAACACTAATGTGTAGATTTTCAGATGACAGGGATGTTTGCGCTCTCCGTGTTCAGGTAGGAGAGAGGGTTGGATTTATGCCAGATCAGTTTTATGTTTTTTTTTTGTTGTATTTGTTTGTTTCTTTTATTAGGTATTGGCTTGTGATTTTTTGTATGTAAATTATTTCCTGCTGTTCAATTATGACCAGCGTTAAGGATGTTGACTACTCTAGTGGCTCCCCAGTTAAATTTGTAAGCTGGAATGTGAAATCCCTTAATAGTTCTACAAAATCCCAGAAAATTATGTCACACCTAAAACAGTTGAACACTTGAATGAACTTTATTTAAAAAGGGGACAATGCACAACTCAAACATAAATGTCACCATTAGATGCACTGTTTCAGATTATAGCAAAAGCTAATTCGCATATGCAGTCCCTTGACAAGTTTTTTTTTTTAAATGGATTCAACACTTTTTATCGACTCCATTAAAGCGATGGAATACATCAAGAAAAATATAATTCCAGCAACAGAAGACGAGGATTAAAATAAATCAGAATAAACCACAAGATCAGCCTCTCTCAATCAGCAATTTTTATAAATCTGTTAATCTAAATCTGAAACTGATATTGCCTTTTTACAGAAGACCCATGTGCACTCTGCAGACTGTGAATAATTTATTAAAAAATGGTCCTATCAAGTGTTTCAGTCTAATTTTCAATCCAAATCAAGAGGGGTAGCTATTATAGTCGGTAACAGGTGCAATTTTCAGCCTCAAGTGTGCATGCTGATAATGCTGGGCGGTATTTTATAGTAGTGGGTAAGTTATACACACTGCCAGTGATCTTGATTTTGGTATATGCTACCAACTGGGATGATTCTAAATTTTTTAATAACCTCTTCTCAAATATGTGAAACACATAATCTTATGATTGGTGGT